CTGGGTCGTTCCCTCCTGGTACCCAGTGGAGCCTCCGGCGGCCGGTCTACGGTCTCCGCCAGGCGCCCCGTGAGTGGCACGACACACTGAGGACTACTCTTGCTGCTCTTGGGTTTGCTCCTTCTACTGCTGACCTGTTGCTGTTTCTACGCACCGACACCACTCTGCCGCCGTTCTACGTTCTCGTGTACGTAGACGACTTGGTCTTTGCTACTGCTGACACTGAGGCACTCGCCCACGTGAAGTCGGAGCTGCAGAAGAGACACACGTGCACAGACCTGGGTGAGCTGACAAGCTATCTTGGCTTGCGGATCACCCGGGACAGAGCACAGCGCACCATCACCTTGACTCAGTCACACATGGTGCAGCAGGTCCTTCAGCGCTTCCGCTTCACGTACTCCTCGCCTCAGCCCACTCCTCTGCCTACCGGTCACTCGCTCCCAGCTCTGCCTTCGGATGAGTCCGTAGAGCCGAGTGGCCCGTATCCAGAGCTTGTGGGCTGCCTCATGTACCTGATGACCTGCACTCGACCTGACCTTGCATACCCTCTTAGCATCCTAGCACGCTATGTCGCTCCTGGCCGTCACCGGAAGGAGCACATGGATGCCGCTAAGAGGGTGTTGCGCTACTTGTGCAGTACGTCGGGCATGGGGCTTGTGCTTGGAGGACGGCGCGACGTTGTCCTCACTGGACACTCAGATGCTTCTTGGGCTGACGACCAGGCTACGCAGCGGTCGTCTCAGGGTTACACCTTCAGCCTTGGCTCTGGCTCTGTTTCCTGGCGTTCTACACGCTCTTCCTCTGTTCTCAGCTCCAGTTGTGAGGCTGAGATCTACGCCACAGCCATGGCTGCCCAGGAGCTACGCTGGCTCACCTACCTGCTGACCGACCTCGGAGAGCGGCCTCGTTCTCCTCCAGTGCTGTACGTCGACAACAAGGCAGCCATTGCCTTGTGTCAAGAGCACAGGTTGGAGCACAGAACGAAGCACATTGCTCTGCGCTACTTCCTTGCTCGAGAGCTGCAGCAGCGTGGTCAGCTTCGTCTGCGTTACGTGGCCACTCAGGCCAACACTGCTGATGTGTTCACCAAGGCGCTTCAGCCTTGTGATCATCAGCGTTTCTGTACTGTTCTAGGCCTTGTGCCTACTCTCCCTCACTTGCTCACTTCTTGACTCTGCTTGTACTGTGATCTCTATATATATACCTGCATGCTTTCACTTGCTAGGTTGTGATCACTGTACCTCTTGTTATATTATCAAACTGCATGTGAACTGGTCTTGTGACCGCTTGCTTGTGCTCGGAATTTGTGTGGTATCCTTGAGATCCACCCTGAGCTTGTTTTGCTTTGCTTTGCTTTGACTGGTCTTGTGGCCATCCGGTTGTCCCCCACTTAGCCTATGGGGGTGTGTCAAACATTGTCTGTTTATATTGTCTAGGCTATAGTGGGTTTAGCCATAGGAGGTACAACAAACTTAGGGTTTCACACTTGTACCCCACTTTCTGCTAGTTCAACCATTCCTGTTTCGTTCTTTCTAACACTAGCAACAGTTGGGATACAAATAGGAAACCCTAATTGTGTTGTACTCTCTACAGAGTACCCCACTGCAGACTAGACAGCAAACACATTCTGACATACAGCCCCAATTAGGGTTTGCTATATGTATCCTATCTGCTGCTAGTGCAACCCCCCTTTCTGTTTCTAACTTTCTGCTAGCGTTTCTCGACACATTGATCTTGCAATAGATCGTGCAAAAGCTGTCCTCCACCACACTTAACTCCTCCTTAGTACATTAGAGACTTTTAGAACCTCTTCTAACCATGCCAAAATACGATCCTTTGTAGGATCGATCGCAGGGTCGCCGCCTAGGGGATGCGTCCTTAGGGCGGATTCCTGGCTTCGGGGCATCCGGTGTTCGAGTCATCCCAAATCTTGGGAAGACACGAGCTGCAATGCAGCACCTCGACTCAATGAGCCGACCTTGTTCACGATTTTTCTGTACAAATATTTAGTTGGCTACCCGAAATCATAGCTCTCGTCGTTTTAAGTTGCGATCGTCAAAGCGAACTGGCGACCAATTCCGATTTTGGACGACACAGAAATGTGCAATGCTGCACAAAATAGGAGTGTAATTTTTGTCGCAAATTCAGAAACGTCGCACTATGTTAGCTGCACAAAATGCTGCACAAAATAGGAGTGTACTACGCGATAAAAATACTGGGGAGAAAGTATTTTCGCCCACCATGTACGCTGAAGCTCGCTAACTCCCGAAGCGGAAGACCCGAAGCTCGAGTCGGCAAAATCGCGGCTCTTAAATTTTAAATCGGATGTCCCAAAGCTAGGAATACTCCCTTAGAACTCATCCAACAGTAACACGCTTCCTGAGTTCATGGCAACGCACGCCATCCATTCATAAAGGGTTTTTAGTTGATCCCGCACTGTTACTGAAACTATACGCCAAAAGCGCAACACTTTCGCTTCTGTCGCACTGTTACTGCCCAGTTTTCGCTCACGGCGCAGAGTTAGTGAGATTTCTACGCAGTAATTTTTTCATTGGTCAAAATGTCGACGGACCGACAATTCCGCTTGGATTGACGGCCATCGAACCGTTTGCACCTGAATTTTGGGCAGACAATGTCAGAATGTTGTATTTGTCTAGCCTGCAGTGGGGTACTCTATAGCGAGTACAGCCCAATCTAGGGTTTCCTATATGTACTCAACTGCTTGCTAGTGCAACCTCTCTTTCTTGTTCTAAACTTCTTCTCATAATTTTGACATGGTTTCAGAGCATTTACGCTCTTGGCCTGTGGGCCCACCAACCTGCTTCCGCTGCTACTCGATCTGTCGCACGCCCCGTGGCGTGCGATGTACTTTTCATCCCGCCGCGCGCCGGAGGTGCGCGGCGGTTTACTCTCTGGCGCGCGCCCCGGGGCGCGCGGCCCCTTTTCTTCCTGGCGCGCCGCCCCCGCTGCTCCGTCGCGACGCCCTGGGGAGACGCGCGTGCCCCCTGCCCGTCCGTCGCGGCGCCATGGAGCGACGCGCGCGTCCCCCAACCGTCCCGTCGCGGCGCCCTGGTGTGTCGCGCGCGGCCCCTGCCGTCCCGTCGCGGCGCCCTGGCGAGACGCGCGCGGCCACTGCTGCTCCGTCGCGGCGCCCTAGCCAGGCGCGCGCGGCTCCTGCTGGTCCGTCGCGGCACCCTGGCACGGCGCGCACGGCCCCTGCTACTCCGTCGCGGCGCCCTGGCCAGGCGCGCGCGGCTCCTGCTGGTCCGTCGCGGCGCCCTGGCAAGGCGCGCGCGGCCCCTGCTGGTCTGTCGCGGCGCCCTGGCTAGGCGCTCGTGGCCCCTGCTGTCCCGTCGCCCCCCTCCCCCCCCCCCCCCCCCCCGTGCCGCCCATTGCTCCCGTGCCGCCGTGCGTTCCGCGGTGGTGGGGGGTGTGGGGTGGCGGGCATGGGGGTGAGCGGTGTGGGTGCTACCCTTCCCCTTCTCTTCCTCCTACTTCGTCTCCCACTGCTGCAGCTGCCGCTGAGGGGGGTGGGGGTGTGGGTGTCAAACATTATATGTTTATATAGTGTAGGCTATAGTGGGTTTAGCCATAGGGGGTACAACAAACTTAGGGTTTCCTACTTGTACCCAACTTTCTGCTAGTTCATTCATTTCTCGTTCTCTCTTAGTTTCTCACATGGTATTACGAGCCTAGGTCGTAACCTAGGACCGAACGATGGGCCCACCGTTTTCACATAGTCGCGCCCTAGCGCGCCTCGCCTAGTCGCGCCCTCGAGCGCCCTCCTCTCTCTCTCACTCTAGCGCGCCCTAGCGTGCCTCTCGCGATCGGCCCCGCCTAGCCCGCACGCCCTAGCGTGCCCCGTGCGATCGGCCCCGCTCACCTCGTACGCCCTAGCGTGCGACCCGCGCAGCACCACGCGCGTAGCCTGCCCCGCGCGCCCTTGCGTGCCCCGTGCGGCCTCGCGCGCTCGCTGCCCCGAGCGCCCTTGCGCGCCTCTTTCGGACCGGCCCCGCCCCTTAGCGCGCGCCCTTTCGTGCCCCGTGCGACCGGCCCACACCCACCCGCGCGCCCTTGCGTGCCCCTCGCGTACCGGCCCCGCCCAGCTAGCCCGCCCTTGCGTGCCTCGTGCAACCAGGCCCCGCCCCACTAGCCCGCCCTTGCGTGCCCCGTGCGACCAGGCCCCGCCCTCGCTAGCTCGCCACTTCGTGCCCCGTGCGGACCGGCCCCGCTCTGACCTGCACGCCCTCGCGTGCCCCACCTCGAGTAGCCGCCGCCTAGCCGAGCCGAGCCGCCCCACCGAACCGCGTCACCCGGCTCGAGCCGCGCCGCCCTACCGAACCGCGCCGCCCTACCGAGCCGCGCCGCCCTACCGAGACGCGCCGCCCTACCGAGCCGCGCCACTGCTGCTGTCACTGCTACTGACACTACTGCTGTTACTACTGCTACTACTGCTACTGCTCTTACTGCAACTATGGCTAGCCCTGCTATGCTCGCTTTCGATGCTGAGGGCCGCCCGCTGAAGTTTGACACCTGGCTAGATGACTTGCACCTGTTCCTCCAGCTCACTGCCAAGGAGGATATCTCGCTGTACGATCACGCACTAGGACTTGCTGCTGCCCCTGCTGCTACTGCTGACAGTACTGCCCGCTCCCAGTGGCAGACTCGTGACGCCCACGCTCGCTTCGCTATTCGCAACTCCCTGCCGGTAGATGAGCGCGAGCACTTTGGCCAGCACAAAACTGCGCAGGCACTGTACACTGCTGTAGTTGCACACTACTCCTCACCTGCCTCTGCTGCGCTAGGCCGTCTCTCGCTCCCCTACCTGTTCCCAGACCTGTCCGCTTTCGCCACAGTCGCTGACCTCATCACGCACCTCCGCACTAGTGAGGCCCGCTTCCGTGCCGCTATGCCCGCTGAGTTTCTTGCCACGCACCCCCCCCCGCTCTGGCTCACTCTCTACCACCTGGTCACCCGTCTCCCTGACTCTCTTCGTGCGGTCAGGGACCACTTCCTCGCTCGCTGCCCCACTGAGCTCACCGTTGACCTGCTCGAGAAGGAACTGTTTGCAGCTGAGACTAGCATAGTCGCTGTAGCTGCCTCTCGTGGCGACCCCCGCACCCCTTTCTTCGAGGGGTGTTCCCCTTCCCCCCTTCTCCCCTCTGTCGCCTCTGCTGCTGCTGTCGACCTCGTTGGTACTGAGCAGGTCGGGACTGCGTCCGCTCCGAGCTGGCGCCGCAGCGGCAAGGGCAAAGGGGGCAAGGGAGGTGGAGGTGACGGCGGGGGAGGCGGTGGTGGGGGCGGTGGCGGCAGTGGGGGCGGTGGCGGGGCTGGAGGAGCTAGTGGCAGCGGTGGGGGTGGTGGCGGCAACGGAGGAGGAGGTGGCCGGGGTGGGGGCGGTGGTGGGGGCGGTGGTGGACGCGGCGGCGGCAGGGGCGGTGGTGGTCGAGGTGGTGGCGGCGGCGGTGGTGGTCGTGGAGGCGCTGGCGGACAGCAGACTCCGTCGTCCCAGGAGCTTCGTGAGTGGTACTCTCAGCACGGGGGGGGGGGTGGCCTTAGCTGCACGTACGTCATCCGCACTGGTGACCGCACTGGCCAGACGTGTGGGAGGGCGCATACCGCGCAGCGCTGCTTCTCCCGCCTCGACGACGCTTGGCGCACTCAGTTCCCTGCTGCCACTGAGCTGCCCCGCTGGGCTGATCTGATGAGGAAGAACATTGATATCTATGCTCTTGACTTTGATGCTATTCTCACTGCCATGTATGTGTTGTCTACTAGTGGAGAGGGTGCTCAGTACCAGCGTGTTCCGCCCGACCCGGGCATTAGGACCAGTGAGGCTGCCGCTCTAGGTGCTAGTGCGTCTGTTGCCCTAGGTGCTGGTGAGGCTGCCGCTCCAGGTACTAGCGTGTCTGCTGCCCCAGGTGCTGGTGAGGCTGCTGCACTAGGTGCTAGTGAGTCTCCCCCACCTGGTACTGAGTCTACTGAGGCACTGCACACCTTCACACTGGACTCAGGTGCTTCTCGCTGTTTCTTTCGTGACCGCACTGCCCTTGAGCAGCTTGCTCGGCCAGTGGCTGTCTCCCTCGCTGACCCCTCTGGGGGTCCGGTCATTGCGACCTCCTCCACTGTCCTTCCTTGTCCTGCGGTTCCGTCGGGCACACTGTCAGGTCTCCACCTCCCCTCGTTCTCTACGAACTTGGTGGCGGGTTGTGCGCTCCAGGACGGGGGTGTTCACCAGTTCACCCCTGCCTACGAGCGCGTGACACACTGCACGTGTGCTCGGACGGGCCGTCACCTGGCTACCTTCACTCGGCAGCCGGGGTCGGACCTGTACACACTGACCACTGAGTCTCCTCAGGTAGCTGCGTCTGCGTCTGCGTCAGGTCAGCTGTCGGCCCCCTGCTCGTGTCGCTCTCTAGCGCATGAGACCGTCCTCTGGCACCACCGCCTTGGTCACCCGTCAGTGCAGCGCCTTCGTGGCATGCACAAACGGTACCTTGTCTCTGGTCTTCCCAGGGTTCTACCTCCCCTCCCACCCTCGCCTGCTCCTCCCTGTCTTCCCTGTGTCGAGGGGCGGCAGCGCGCCGCTCCTCACTCCTCCTCGTTTCCCCCGACGACTGCTCCCTTGCAGACACTCCACATGGACGTGTGGGGCCCAGCTTGCGTCCGTGGACAGGGTCAGGAGAGGTACTTCCTGATCGTTGTTGACGACTACTCGCGCTACACCACGGTCTTCCCCTTGCGCACCAAGGGTGAGGTCCCTGATGTTTTGATCCCTTGGATCCGCGCTTCTCGTCTCCAGCTCAGCGAGCGGTTCCACTCGGACTTTCCTGTCCTGCGTCTGCACTCTGACAGAGGTGGTGAGTTCTCCTCCGACCTCTTGGCAGCCTACTGTGCGGAGCACGGCATCCGCCAGTCGTTCACGCTTCCGGCCTCTCCACAGCAGAATGGGGTTGCTGAGCGCCGCATTGGCTTGGTCATGGAGGTCGCTCGTACCTCCTTGATCCATGCGGCTGCCCCCCACTTTCTGTGGCCGTTTGCGGTCCGATACGCTGCGCATCAGCTCAACCTCTGGCCCCGTGTCTCCGTTCCGGAGACTTCGCCGACACTGCGTTGGACGGGAGAGGTTGGCGATGCGTCGCGTTTTCGGGTCTGGGGATCTCGAGCTTTTGTTCGCGATACGTCCGCGGACAAGCTCTCCTCCCGCGCTGTTCCTTGTGTCTTCCTTGGCTTTGTCCCGGACGCGTCTGGTTGGCAGTTTTACCACGCCACCTCGCGCCGTGTCCTGCCCTCTCAGGACGTCACTTTTGACGAGTCGGTGCCCTACTACCGCCTCTTCCCCTACCGCACTGCCCCGCTCCCCCCCCCGCCTCTCTTCCTCGCGCCAGGTGCTGCTGTGGTAGACCCCCTCCCCCCTCAGGGTGCCGCTCCCTCAGGTGTGTCCCAGGTAGACCCGGTTGAGCCTGTTGAGGTAGCTGTCGACTCTCGTCCTGCTAGGGGTGCTGAGCCTGAGCGTGCGGAGCCTGGGGTTGATGAGCCTGGGGGTGCGGAGCCTGGGGTTGCGTAGTCTGGGGGTGCTGAGCCTGGGGGTGCGGAGCCTGCGGGTGCTGAGTCTGGGGGTGCTGAGTCTGGGGGTGCTGAGCCAGAGGGTGCTGCGACTGAGCGTGCTACACCTGGAGGAGCTCTCTCCTCACAGCAGCTACGTGAGTGGTACTTACAGTACTGCAGCCTCAGGAGGGGTGCTTCTGGAGCTAGGAGTGCTGCTGGAGCTGGTGCTTGTGCTTCCCCTCCTAGGCGGGAGCTGCCATCTCCCCAGCGGCTCCGAGAGTGGTACGCTCGGCGCTGCAGTCTCCGGAGTGGCGCTCCTAGTGTCGCGGACTCTGGTGCTTGAGCTGCTGGCGGTGCTGCTGGCGCTGCTGGAGGTGCTGCTGGTGCTGGTGCTGCTGGAGCTGCTGGAGGTGCTGCTGCTGCTGGCGGTGCTGCTGGCGCTGCTGGTGCTGGTGCTGCTGGAGCTGCCGATTAGGCTTCCAGTCCACCCCGGACTCGGGCTGCCGATTAGGCTTCCAGTCCACCCCGGACTCGGGCTGCCGATTAGGCTTCCAGTCCACCCCGGACTCGGGCTGCCGATTAGGCTTCCAGTCCACCCCGGACTCGGGCTGCCGATTAGGCTTCCAGTCCACCCCGGACTCGGGCTGCCGATTAGGCTTCCAGTCCACCCCGGACTCGGGCTGCCGATTAGGCTTCCAGTCCACCCCGGACTCGGGCTGCCGATTAGGCTTCCAGTCCACCCCGGACTCGGGCTGCCGATTAGGCTTCCAGTCCACCCCGGACTCGGGCTGCCGATTAGGCTTCCAGTCCACCCCGGACTCGGGCTGCCGATTAGGCTTCCAGTCCACCCCGGACTCAGGCTGCCGATTAGGCTTCCAGTCCACCCCGGACTCGGGCTGCCGATTAGGCTTCCAGTCCACCCCGGACTCGGGCTGCCGATTAGGCTTCCAGTCCACCCCGGACTCGGGCTGCCGATTAGGCTTCCAGTCCACCCCGGACTCGGGCTGCCGATTAGGCTTCCAGTCCACCCCGGACTCGGGCTGCCGATTAGGCTTCCAGTCCACCCCGGACTCGGGCTGCCGATTAGGCTTCCAGTCCACCCCGGACTCGGGCTGCCGATTAGGCTTCCAGTCCACCCCGGACTCGGGCTGCCGATTAGGCTTCCAGTCCACCCCGGACTCGGGCTGCCGATTAGGCTTCCAGTCCACCCCGGACTCGGGCTGCCGATTAGGCTTCCAGTCCACCCCGGACTCGGGCTGCCGATTAGGCTTCCAGTCCACCCCGGACTCGGGCTGCCGATTAGGCTTCCAGTCCACCCCGGACTCGGGCTGCCGATTAGGCTTCCAGTCCACCCCGGACTCGGGCTGCCGATTAGGCTTCCAGTCCACCCCGGACTCGGGCTGCCGATTAGGCTTCCAGTCCACCCCTGACTCGGGCTGCCGATTAGGCTTCCAGTCCACCCCGGACTCGGGCTGCCGATTAGGCTTCCAGTCCACCCCGGACTCGGGCTGCCGATTAGGCTTCCAGTCCACCCCGGACTCGGGCTGCCGATTAGGCTTCCAGTCCACCCCGGACTCGGGCTGCCGATTAGGCTTCCAGTCCACCCCGGACTCGGGCTGCCGATTAGGCTTCCAGTCCACCCCGGACTCGGGCTGCCGATTAGGCTTCCAGTCCACCCCGGACTCGGGCTGCCGATTAGGCTTCCAGTCCACCCCGGACTCGGGCTGCCGATTAGGCTTCCAGTCCACCCCGGACTCGGGCTGCCGATTAGGCTTCCAGTCCACCCCGGACTCGGGCTGCCGATTAGGCTTCCAGTCCACCCCGGACTCGGGCTGCCGATTAGGCTTCCAGTCCACCCCGGACTCGGGCTGCCGATTAGGCTTCCAGTCCACCCCGGACTCGGGCTGCCGATTAGGCTTCCAGTCCACCCCGGACTCGGGCTGCCGATTAGGCTTCCAGTCCACCCCGGACTCGGGCTGCCGATTAGGCTTCCAGTCCACCCCGGACTCGGGCTGCCGATTAGGCTTCCAGTCCACCCCGGACTCGGGCTGCCGATTAGGCTTCCAGTCCACCCCGGACTCGGGCTGCCGATTAGGCTTCCAGTCCACCCCGGACTCGGGCTGCCGATTAGGCTTCCAGTCCACCCCGGACTCGGGCTGCCGATTAGGCTTCCAGTCCACCCCGGACTCGGGCTGCCGATTAGGCTTCCAGTCCACCCCGGACTCGGGCTGCCGATTAGGCTTCCAGTCCACCCCGGACTCGGGCTGCCGATTAGGCTTCCAGTCCACCCCGGACTCGGGCTGCCGATTAGGCTTCCAGTCCACCCCGGACTCGGGCTGCCGATTAGGCTTCCAGTCCACCCCGGACTCGGGCTGCCGATTAGGCTTCCAGTCCACCCCTGACTCGGGCTGCCGATTAGGCTTCCAGTCCACCCCTGACTCGGGCTGCCGATTAGGCTTCCAGTCCACCCCTGACTCGGGCTGCCGATTAGGCTTCCAGTCCACCCCTGACTCGGGCTGCCGATTAGGCTTCCAGTCCACCCCTGACTCGGGCTGCCGATTAGGCTTCCAGTCCACCCCTGACTCGGGCTGCCGATTAGGCTTCCAGTCCACCCCTGACTCGGGCTGCCGATTAGGCTTCCAGTCCACCCCTGACTCGGGCTGCCGATTAGGCTTCCAGTCCACCCCTGACTCGGGCTGCCGATTAGGCTTCCAGTCCACCCCTGACTCGGGCTGCCGATTAGGCTTCCAGTCCACCCCTGACTCGGGCTGCCGATTAGGCTTCCAGTCCACCCCTGACTCGGGCTGCCGATTAGGCTTCCAGTCCACCCCGGACTCGGGCTGCCGATTAGGCTTCCAGTCCACCCCGGACTCGGGCTGCCGATTAGGCTTCCAGTCCACCCCTGACTCGGGCTGCCGATTAGGCTTCCAGTCCACCCCGGACTCGGGCTGCCGATTAGGCTTCCAGTCCACCCCTGACTCGGGCTGCCGATTAGGCTTCCAGTCCACCCCTGACTCGGGCTGCCGATTAGGCTTCCAGTCCACCCCGGACTCGGGCTGCCGATTAGGCTTCCAGTCCACCCCTGACTCGGGCTGCCGATTAGGCTTCCAGTCCACCCCGGACTCGGGCTGCCGATTAGGCTTCCAGTCCACCCCTGACTCGGGCTGCCGATTAGGCTTCCAGTCCACCCCTGACTCGGGCTGCCGATTAGGCTTCCAGTCCACCCCTGACTCGGGCTGCCGATTAGGCTTCCAGTCCACCCCTGACTCGGGCTGCCGATTAGGCTTCCAGTCCACCCCGGACTCGGGCTGCCGATTAGGCTTCCAGTCCACCCCTGACTCGGGCTGCCGATTAGGCTTCCAGTCCACCCCTGACTCGGGCTGCCGATTAGGCTTCCAGTCCACCCCGGACTCGGGCTGCCGATTAGGCTTCCAGTCCACCCCTGACTCGGGCTGCCGATTAGGCTTCCAGTCCACCCCTGACTCGGGCTGCCGATTAGGCTTCCAGTCCACCCCTGACTCGGGCTGCCGATTAGGCTTCCAGTCCACCCCTGACTCGGGCTGCCGATTAGGCTTCCAGTCCACCCCTGACTCGGGCTGCCGATTAGGCTTCCAGTCCACCCCTGACTCGGGCTGCCGATTAGGCTTCCAGTCCACCCCTGACTCGGGCTGCCGATTAGGCTTCCAGTCCACCCCTGACTCGGGCTGCCGATTAGGCTTCCAGTCCACCCCTGACTCGGGCTGCCGATTAGGCTTCCAGTCCACCCCTGACTCGGGCTGCCGATTAGGCTTCCAGTCCACCCCTGACTCGGGCTGCCGATTAGGCTTCCAGTCCACCCCTGACTCGGGCTGCCGATTAGGCTTCCAGTCCACCCCTGACTCGGGCTGCCGATTAGGCTTCCAGTCCACCCCTGACTCGGGCTGCCGATTAGGCTTCCAGTCCACCCCTGACTCGGGCTGCCGATTAGGCTTCCAGTCCACCCCTGACTCGGGCTGCCGATTAGGCTTCCAGTCCACCCCTGACTCGGGCTGCCGATTAGGCTTCCAGTCCACCCCTGACTCGGGCTGCCGATTAGGCTTCCAGTCCACCCCTGACTCGGGCTGCCGATTAGGCTTCCAGTCCACCCCTGACTCGGGCTGCCGATTAGGCTTCCAGTCCACCCCTGACTCGGGCTGCCGATTAGGCTTCCAGTCCACCCCTGACTCGGGCTGCCGGTTTGGGCTTCCAGTCCACCCCTGACTCGGGCTGCCGATTAGGCTTCCAGTCCACCCCTGACTCGGGCTGCCGATTAGGCTTCCAGTCCACCCCTGACTCGGGCTGCCGATTAGGCTTCCAGTCCACCCCTGACTCGGGCTGCCGATTAGGCTTCCAGTCCACCCCTGACTCGGGCTGCCGATTAGGCTTCCAGTCCACCCCTGACTCGGGCTGCCGATTAGGCTTCCAGTCCACCCCTGACTCGGGCTGCCGATTAGGCTTCCAGTCCACCCCGGACTCGGGCTGCCGATTAGGCTTCCAGTCCACCCCGGACTCGGGCTGCCGATTAGGCTTCCAGTCCACCCCGGACTCGGGCTGCCGATTAGGCTTCCAGTCCACCCCTGACTCGGGCTGCCGATTAGGCTTCCAGTCCACCCCTGACTCGGGCTGCCGATTAGGCTTCCAGTCCACCCCTGACTCGGGCTGCCGATTAGGCTTCCAGTCCACCCCGGACTCGGGCTGCCGATTAGGCTTCCAGTCCACCCCGGACTCGGGCTGCCGATTAGGCTTCCAGTCCACCCCTGACTCGGGCTGCCGATTAGGCTTCCAGTCCACCCCTGACTCGGGCTGCCGATTAGGCTTCCAGTCCACCCCTGACTCGGGCTGCCGATTAGGCTTCCAGTCCACCCCTGACTCGGGCTGCCGATTAGGCTTCCAGTCCACCCCTGACTCGGGCTGCCGATTAGGCTTCCAGTCCACCCCTGACTCGGGCTGCCGATTAGGCTTCCAGTCCACCCCTGACTCGGGCTGCCGATTAGGCTTCCAGTCCACCCCTGACTCGGGCTGCCGATTAGGCTTCCAGTCCACCCCTGACTCGGGCTGCCGATTAGGCTTCCAGTCCACCCCTGACTCGGGCTGCCGATTAGGCTTCCAGTCCACCCCTGACTCGGGCTGCCGATTAGGCTTCCAGTCCACCCCTGACTCGGGCTGCCGATTAGGCTTCCAGTCCACCCCTGACTCGGGCTGCCGATTAGGCTTCCAGTCCACCCCTGACTCGGGCTGCCGATTAGGCTTCCAGTCCACCCCTGACTCGGGCTGCCGATTAGGCTTCCAGTCCACCCCTGACTCGGGCTGCCGATTAGGCTTCCAGTCCACCCCTGACTCGGGCTGCCGGTTTGGGCTTCCAGTCCACCCCTGACTCGGGCTGCCGATTAGGCTTCCAGTCCACCCCTGACTCGGGCTGCCGATTAGGCTTCCAGTCCACCCCTGACTCGGGCTGCCGATTAGGCTTCCAGTCCACCCCTGACTCGGGCTGCCGATTAGGCTTCCAGTCCACCCCTGACTCGGGCTGCCGATTAGGCTTCCAGTCCACCCCTGACTCGGGCTGCCGATTAGGCTTCCAGTCCACCCCTGACTCGGGCTGCCGATTAGGCTTCCAGTCCACCCCGGACTCGGGCTGCCGATTAGGCTTCCAGTCCACCCCGGACTCGGGCTGCCGATTAGGCTTCCAGTCCACCCCGGACTCGGGCTGCCGATTAGGCTTCCAGTCCACCCCTGACTCGGGCTGCCGATTAGGCTTCCAGTCCACCCCTGACTCGGGCTGCCGATTAGGCTTCCAGTCCACCCCTGACTCGGGCTGCCGATTAGGCTTCCAGTCCACCCCGGACTCGGGCTGCCGATTAGGCTTCCAGTCCACCCCGGACTCGGGCTGCCGATTAGGCTTCCAGTCCACCCCTGACTCGGGCTGCCGATTAGGCTTCCAGTCCACCCCTGACTCGGGCTGCCGATTAGGCTTCCAGTCCACCCCTGACTCGGGCTGCCGATTAGGCTTCCAGTCCACCCCTGACTCGGGCTGCCGATTAGGCTTCCAGTCCACCCCTGACTCGGGCTGCCGATTAGGCTTCCAGTCCACCCCTGACTCGGGCTGCCGATTAGTCATCGAGCGCTACCTAAATTTGATCCCGCTCAGAAAATCGTTATCGTCAGTCTTCAGTAATCTTCAAGGCTGAGGCACTTGAAGAATCAAGATGGCAATCTCCAGGGTGGAAACTGAAAGGTTTTGATGGACTCGCAACCGCACTGCGTCCCATCCTAGTCCTTTTAAACCTTACAGAGCCGCGTCGAACTCCGTGGAATCCGCGATTCGGTAGATTCCACTTCTATCGCCTCCGTGTTTCTCGTCCCCTGGATGATGCCGTCTGGTTGCTTCTCCTCTTCTGACGAGACGAGCCCTTTCCCGCCAATTCTCAACCAATCGGACGCGTCATCGATGTTTCTTCAAAAATGTAGAGTGGAAAGAAACTGTTACTCGCTAATTAAGGCGGCGTTACCAGCATAAGTTAGACCTTCTGTAGACAACGGAGGGCACCTACCGTATTACGAATGGTAAATAAATATATGCAAAAATAACTATCAGAAGTTTACTACGAGGTCAATAGAAACCTGCCAGCTAGAAAGATTCCATTAGGTGAAATATCTAACCTAGTGAGGAACGTCCCAGGCCCTAAATCGATCTCCTCTACCTCTTCCACACAAGAGCTAGCCCCTACCGTGTCATCTCCCCTATCGCTTTCTCGCTTCCCCTTATGCCCTTTATCCCTGCTTTGACCCCCACGCCGACCATTTCCGCCTCTACCCTTCCCTTGCTTCTTACCTATATCGTCCCTCGCACATGCAACCAGGCACTCACTACCGAATTTGCTTACAGAGAGTCGCCGGCCATCCTCACTAACTGCAAGGCGCACAGCGACAGGCAAAGGACCCCTATATGACTCCTCTTCTGCCATATCTCCTATACCGCCCTCCTCTATAGTCACATCCGCACGAGCCCCTCGTCCGGATAAACTCCCTTCCGGAAGAAGTGCATCCGATCTTAATGATAACACTTTATTTGACTGTAGAGACGTGAGTGTACTGTTATCGGAAGTTTCAGCATCCAGTGCTACGCCGGCCGGAGTTCCCAAGGCTTCCCGTGATGCAGCACCCAGCAACCGCTTGGACAGGGACAGCCAACCACCCCCAGGGCCAGAAACACCCTGCCCTTCTCCGCTCAGCTGCTGCTGTCGATGTCCGTGCTGCTGCTGCTCCCTCCTCTTCCTCTGACCTGGAAGCCGGAGGGTTTCTCTGGACCAGAACTCGCGAGGAGGTACAAGGGAGATGGGGGGTGTTGAGGGGGAATTAGGGGTGTCAAGGACTTGCGAGACCAGTCCCTGCCCTTGCTGCTGCTGCCTTTGTTGCTGCTGTGCCTGATGCTCTGTTGAACCTGCCCCATGCTGCTGCTGCTGCTGCTGCTGCTGTCTGTGTCGTCTCCCAAGGCCCAGGCTTGGTGAGGAGGGGAAGAGCACCGAGTTAGCAAAGAAAGGCGTGCCAGGGGCCCTCCAGGAGTAGGGGGATAGTGCTGCTGGTGTCGCAGCAGCAGCAGGAGATTCAGCAGAGGTTGGCAGAGTGTGGTTGTGAGCGGTGGGAAGGTTTGCCGCTGGGTTGTTGGGGTGGGGGATGCGGAGGGGACGGAGGCGACGGGCTAGAGAGGTAGAGAGGCGAGAGGAGCGGGGAGAGGGAGGAGGGGAGGAGGAGGGAGAGGAGGAGAGGGAGGGTGAGTGAGGAAGCGAGGGTGAGGGAAGGTTAGAGGATGGTGTAGTGGTATCCGAGGTTTGAGGGGAGGAGTGAGAAGGGAACAGAAAGGACGGCTTCAGGAGCTGCAGCCGCCCGACAGTATCCAGCACTGGCTGAGGGAATCTGATCTGGGCGGCAGAGAATCTCAACAGTGACAGTGGGTTGGGCGGCAGGAGGGGAATGGGGAGGGGAGGGAGGTCTAGGGAGGGCTGGGAGGAGGAAGTGGGGGAGGAGGTGAAAGGGGAGGAATAGCGGACGGATAGGCGGGGGGAGGAGAATTGGGGGGAGTAGTAGGGGGAGTGGTGGTGGGGGGAGGAGTGGGGGGGACTAAGGCGAGCTGTGGGGGTGAATCGGGGGGTGAATCGGGGAGAGGGGGTGAATCGCGGAGAAGGGGTGAAGCGGGGGGAACCGCGAGTGTGGGGAGAATTGAGGGTGTGTGCATACGAGGTTCGAAGGGGGTTAAGAACGCTATGCTTTGGAGAGGAGGAAAGGGTGGTGGAGTGTGGAGGGTTGGGGGGAGATGACGAGGACGAGGAGGGATGGTACGGCGAAAGGGTAGATTGGCTGTTGGAACTGTTGGGCGGCAGACTGGAGATCAGATTTTGTTTTTGTTCTTGATTTTGGCTGAATCTCGGATCCTGATTGGCTGCTACGAACTCCAAGAATCCGTCACCAAGTGACACGTGGAGGGCTGGGATTGGCTGGCGGTCGTCCAATGAGAAGACAGAGCGGAGGAGAGGGAAGAGGAGAGGGCTCCTTAGGCTGCAGGGGGGACGGGGGGAAGAGGGGGAGGGAGGGGGAGGGGGGGAAAGAGGGGAGGGGGATGGGGAAAAGGTGAGCGAAGGGGAGAGGGGGGAAGATGGAGTGAGGTGAGGGCGTGAGAGTCGGGGGAGAGAGAAGAGGAGAGCTCTTGAGATGGCAAGCGGGGAGGGGAAGGAGAAAGGGGGGAGGGGGTTGTGGAAAGGAGGAAAAAGGGGAGGAAGGGGTAGAGAAAGGGGAGAGATGGGGGTGAAGAGGGATGGAGGGGGGGGAGAGGGGGGGAGCGAGAGAGTATGGAACAAGATGGGGGAGTGGGCTTGAGAATTTGGGGAATGGGGGAAATGAGAAGCACAAGTGGCTTGACGGGCCAGGATTGGCTGGTAGCCGACCAATGGAAAGAAAGCTAGATTGGAGGGGCGGGAAGAGAAGAAAAGAGGGCTCCTGAGATTGGTAGGGCAAGGCTGGGGAAGGGCATGGGGAAGATACCGGGAAAGTGCAACAAAGTGGACATGCGCGTGTACTTTTTATGTCCTGCAACTGTGAAACCTGCTTTTGTTTGATGCGCCTTGAAAATCGTCAACTGTGTTTGATGCTGCGAAACCTGCATTTGTTTTTTGAGGCGCCTTTAAAAACATATTTTTATATCCTACAACAGATGCTGTGAAAGCTGTGTTTGTTAATTCCAGACAGGTTCCGCTCTGTATTTGCTTTGCTTTTTAGTTACTTTGTTAAAGTGGTCAGAGCTCACCGAGGGCTATGGGCTAGGTCTCATGGAATTAAGATCTGATTTGGCACTTCGAATGGCCCGCCATCCGATAACTTCAAGACACCGACTCACCTCCTGTTGAACATTGAAAGGACTCACCTCCTATTGAGGCCTAGCCCATACTGACTCACCTCCTGTTGAAATCTTCGGGGCTCATGGATAGAAAGGCGCGCACCGGAAAGTGCGAGTCGGTGAAACTGAAGGGGGAAGGGAAAGGGGGGATTAGAGGGGAGGAAATAGGGGGGAGTGAGGAGGAGGAGAAATTCAAGAGGAGAGGGCGGTTGCAGGGCAGGAGGGTAAGGGGAGGAGGGTATGGGGAGGAGGGTAAGGGGAGGAGGGTAAAGGGAGGAGGGTAAGGGGAGGAGGGTATGGGGAGGAGGGTAAGGGGAGGAGGGTATGGGGAGGGAATGGGGAGGGAATGGGGAGGGAATGGGGAGGGAATGGGGAGGGAATGGGGAGGGAATGGGGAGGGAATGGGGAGGGAATGGGGAGGGAATGGGGAGGGAATGGGGAGGGAATGGGGAGGGAATGGGGAGGGAATGGGGAGGGAATGGGGAGGGAATGGGGAGGGAATGGGGAGGGAATGGGGAGGGAATGGGGAGGGAATGGGGAGGGAATGGGGAGGGAATGGGGAGGGAATGGGGAGGAAGAATCGGCCAGGGGAGTGAGGTGAGGAGAGAAAAGCGCACAATGGAGGGGAGGAAGGAAAGGGTAAGGAAGGGAGGCGGTATCGGGGCGCACAATGAAAAGCACACAAGAAGCGCACAACGGAGAATATCTGAAACTGACATGAGGGGAGGAGAGAAAGGGTTCGGAAGGGAGGCGGTATGCGGAGTGAGGATGGGGAGGGAGAGGAGGGAAGGGGAGTGGAGTAGTATAGGGCAGGAGCAGGGAGGCAATGAGAGGGGAGGGTAGGGAATTGGAGGTTAGGGGAGTTTATGGGAGAATGGAGGGGAGGGGGGAGAGAGTAGGAGAGGGGAGGGGAGGGGAGAGGAGGGGAGGGGAAGGGAGTGCAGGGAGGGCAGGGAGGGAAGGGAGGGAAGGGAGGGAAGGGAGGGGGAAGGGAGGGGAGGGAGGGGGAAGGGTGGGGGAAGGGAGGGAAGGGGGGGAAGGGAGGGAAGGGAGGGAAGGGAGGGAAGGGAGGGGAAGAGAGGGACGGGGGGGAAGGGAGGGAAGGGAGGGACGGGAGGGACGGGAGGGAAGGGAGGGACGGGAGGGAAGGGAGGGCATGAGGGAGGGCATGAGGGAGGGCATGAGGGAGGGCATGAGGGAGGGCATGAGGGAGGGCATGAGGGAGGGCATGAGGGAGGGCATGAGGGACGAGGGGAAGGGAAGGGAGGAAGCAGCTAAGGGTGCATCGGCATTGGAGAAACCCTTATACACTGGTGACAGCCGTTTGTGTGTGTGTGTGCGTGCGAGTGTGTGTGTGTGTGTGTGTGTGTGTGTGCGCGCGCGCGCGCGTGTGTGTGTGTGTGTGTGTGCGTGCGTATGTGAGTGTGTATGAGTGAGTGAGTCACTCACTCTCCCTCACCTGGGAGTGAGTCCCCAATTTTTGCCAAAGCGGACAGAAGAAGCAGCCATATCCACGTCAGAAACGGACAAACCCTTGTACTCTGCCGCCCGGGCCGACACCGACACGCCGGCCAGCCGGCCGGATAGCAGGTCTTGTCCTGTAGCGGCCACCTTGATCCTCAGATCGCCACACGAGTCAAGCTGAAGGGCGGGAAAACAAAAGTGGCGGGAAAACAAAAGGAGCAGGAAATCGAGAAAGCTGGTTGGCATCAAGCCAAGTTTGCAGGATACATAGCATCAAGCCATGAGGATAGTTAGTTAGTTTTGTTTTATTGTTTGTTTGTTTGTTTGCTTTTTCAGTCCTTTGGCATTTCAGTGGTGATGGAGGTGCGGTGCATTGCGAGGGATTGCGATTAGGAGGAGGGGAGGCGAGGAGATGGGAAAGAAGGAAAGAAGATGAAAGGAGGAGGTCAGAGGAGAGGAGAGGAAGGGAACGGAGAGGAGGTCACTAAAATCCATCCTGGAACGTAGCTAAAAATTCACCTGAAAATCCACCTGAGGGCTAGGGGGCTGACCTGGGACCGTAGAAAAGAGTGAACGGCCTGAGTCAGCAAGGCCGACACCAACCCGGAAGCTTCTTCCTCTCCTTCCTCCTGAAGCGCATCAGTAGCTGCTGCTGCCGCCACGCCACCACCACTACTCTTGCTGCTGCTGCCGTTTCTGCTGCCGCTTTTGCAGTTGTTGCCGCTGCTGCTAGTGCCCCTGCTGTTGCCGTTACTGCTGCTGCTGCCGCCGCTGCTGGTTCTGTTGAGACCTCCTGAGGCCGCCCTGCCGCCCACCTGCGCTCCGAACTGCTCCTCCGCGATTTGCAGCGCCGCCCAGGGGTCAAGCAGGGAGCGGGGGGGTAACAAAATTAATGTTTTTCCGTACATGTATATTGAATTAGCTGGTATGTAATGGCGTTAATTACGTGTCATTAAATATACATGTAACGTAGGATATATCCTTAATAGCGGTAGGGGTAACTCCCTCTAACACTCGGGTATATTTTTCGTGTTTCGGATTACCCTTTCCAAGTAACGCACGTCCCACTAGGGTTTGCTGATTTGACCCGCGAAGCGTCCGCCACCTGCGCCAACATTACAAATGATTTAGCATTACAATTCGTTCAAAAAGAGTTCGTGCGAAGCAAACAATTGCGTAGAAATTGGACAAAATGCAATCATTGCACTGAGTGACGTCAGAAAATGCAGCATCGAGAGCCAACCATTCCGATTCCAATTTGCGTAGCCCTAAATTGCATCTATTTCGGACCTTTTGTGCCAATTTGAATCGAATCTTGAAAAGCGTGTGAAGTTACGAGTCACATTGTTTAACCTGAGAAACGTGTACGCAACCTGGCATGCACCTGAATAGCGTTCCTAGGCTAAGTTGCATGCACCTGAAAATGGCCGGTGGGGTGGTTGTGAGGTCGAGCAATGCACGTCTGTGCTGACTGGTAGGGCCGACGGACGGATGGAAGTCCAGAGAGTTCCTTCAGGTGAATGTGACCCGTTAGATCATCATCAAAAGCACATTTGATCACCGAGAGTGTTTTGCGTTTTGCAAAACATCCGCGCTTTGAGATGGGCAGCCTGACAGAATCATCCGAAACGCTTGCGACAGGCTGAATTGATTGGCGGCTGACAGGAGACGTGGGCTGGTTCTGATGAAGTGGACTGCCAGCAGGCGATGAGCCAATCAACTGAAAGGAATCGTCGAAACGGGTTACGGGGCCAATCGTGCGGCACAACTGGGACGAAATCTCGATAGCTCGACGTACCCGCTATGTGCTCACTGATCACGTCAACGCAATACCTTACAAGTGATGAAGGCGAACCACATAGCCTCACCACTTAAACAAGTCAATATGAATGAACACACAAGAGCACTGCCATTTCAGCCCCGCTTCCTCTTCCCCTGGCGACGGCCTCCTTTACCCTTCTTTCCTTTTGAAACATTCTCACTATTCTCTACATTTGATTTTGTACTGTCATTACCCCTGGCATTCTCGGCTCCACCTGTCGTGCTAGCCGCCGCAACTGTCTTCACGGCCAATCGTGGCTTTGTGTCGAGCATCGAGCGCGGAAGAATGGAGACGGCACAGAAAGGAGGGCCTCGTGCGAGGGGAACAATCTCAACCACGACTGCAAACTGTGGGTAAAAAAAAAAAAAAAAAAAAAAAAAAAAAAAAAAAGACAGCAACAAGAACAAGTGAAAGATAGGAACACTTTGGTGGTTGGTGAGTTGTGGGTCCCAGCCCAGTTAAGGAGCGGGAAACGTGTAAACATGGCAGACAAGGAAGCATAAATATGCTTTGAGAATGAGACCAGAGCCTCAGAAACGGAGAGCCCCAGAAAAGGGCACTTAACTACTCAAGACACTCGACAGTTGGGCAAAGTAATCAACACTCCATCTATGACTGTATACATCTTACCTCTGGGTTAGTCAAGTTAGCCGCAGCACCTCGCTCCCCAGAAGCTTCCTTCACCGCATCAGCCACTGTCCTGATAACAACATCACGACTCAACTCAACATCCTCCTCCCCTTCCCCCCTCTCCTCCTCCTCCTCTCCCTCATTTCCCTCTCTCTGTCTCTCTGCCTTATCCTTTTCTTTCTTGGCAGTTTCTTTGGCTGCAGCGCCTGAATCCTCTGCTCCTCGTTTCTTGAAAGCCACTGCGAACTGGCGAGGGAAGGGAGGGGGGAAGGGACAAGCGCGGTGAGCTGCTTTTCCTTGTTCCTTGCTGCTTCTCTCCCCACCTGCAGCGCCTGGATCCTCTGCTCCTCGCCTCTTGAAAGCCACTGCAAACTGGGGAGACAAAGAATCTACTGTGTGAGCCCACTCTGACAGTTGAAGGGTAACTCTGACACAGTCTTTGGAGCTCTTTGACAGAGTTACCCTTCAACTGTCAAGAGTAGGCTCACACAGCAAAATCTTTGTTTCAGTTAAGTCGGCGAAATTTAATGGGCAAATCAACGGAGTTACCATTCCGCGTAAGAACTTTGTAAAAGGTTGTCATTCATGTCTGAAACAATACCTGCACAGGAGGTAGAAGCTGCTGTGCTGCTGCTGGGGGTTCTGCTGCTTCTAGGGGTTCTGCTTCTGCCTCAGAACCATTCAAGCGTGGGTCCTCCACTCCCACTTCTGCTTCGCCTGCTGCTGCTGTTGTTGCTGCTGTTGTTGCTGCTGCTGCTGCTGCTGCCGGTGGTGGTGGTGACGCTCCTGCTGGTGCTGCTGGTGAGTCTGCTGCGAAGTGATTGGCCAGCAGTCGCTGCACGGTGGCTGACAGGTGGCGCTTCGTGGTTGGGCACGTGGCCTGCACAGGGCAGATGCGCTGGCACCACCTGATTGGAGCAACAAAGAAGGAGAGGGGAGGGGGGGAGGGGGGGTTAGTAGTGGGGACAGACAATTCAGAGAAAAGCAAGAAAGTGGGCGGCAAAGGCAGATAGACACGTGGCTTGCACAGGGAAGATGCGCTGGCACCACCTGATTGGAGGACAGACGGGGGGTTGGGGTGGAGAGTGGGTGTGGGGCGGGTGAGCGACTGTGTGACGGGTAGATGAGAGGGTAGGAAGAGAACAGTGGGAAGAAGGGAGTGAGGGAGATGGAAGGAGTGAGAGAGGGAAATTAGCACTGGTAAATGAATGGGGTCGCGACAATATTGAAGGAGAAACAGCAAGAGATGAAGGAGGGGGACGGAGGGAGTTAGAGAGGGTGAAAAACGGGAGATCAAGGAGGGAAAGAGGGAGAAGAGAATGAAGGAAGGTAGGCAGGGAGGGAGGGAGGGATTGAGGGAGGGAGGTAGGGAGGGAGGGGGGAAGGGAGGGATTGAGGGAGGGAGGTAGGTAGGTAGGTAGGTAGGTAGGTAGGTAGGGAGGGAGGGAGGGAGGGAGGGAGGGAGGGAGGGAGGGAGGGAGGGAGGGAGGGAGGGAAAAGGCAGGGGAGGCAGGGGACGAACGGGGTGGAGTGCGGTAGGGTGCGGTGGAGTGCGGTGGAGTGCGGTGGAGTGCGGTGGAGTGCGGTGGAGTGGAGTGCAGTGGTTGCAACACTCACTTGAGGCCGCTCCTCTTCTTCTCGTTGATGTCCTTCAGAATCTGCCCGACAACATCCACAGGGCACGGCACCTCGTTGCCCGGCACACATTTTTCCTTCTCGGGCAGCGCCAGAAAAGTTATCCCCATGCTACCCAGCTTGATCGCCCCTAGCCCGGCTTTAAGAGCATCTTCCGCTGCACTCGCATCCTGCTCTGCCTTGCTAACCTTCACTGCCTTATCCTCCCCTGCCTTAGTGACTTTCTTTTCGCAGTCCTCTTCCTCTGCCTGACATGGTGCCTTATCCTCCTTCTCCTTTGCACCATCCTCCTCCTCTCCCACTCTGCTCCCCTCTGGATTACCTCTCTCCCTCGTTCCCCCCTCCCCTTTCCCCTCCTCCCCCTCCTCTATCCTCTTCTCTTCCCCCTCCTCTTTCCCATCCTCTCCCCCCTCCTCTCCTCTCTCCTCTAACTCCTCTCCCTTCTCTACTCTCTGCCGCTTGGCCGCAGCACTCCCGTCAAGCCCCACAACCGAATCACCTCCCCTTTTCCCCTCCTCCACTGGCCCTGGTTCGTCCCCTTCAGTCACACTCGCACACACCGCAGGGAGATACTGGCACGGGGGAGATGGGAGGGTAGGTCGAAGGGAATAGCAGGGGAGGGACAGCGAGGGGGAGAAAGGAAAGGGAAACTCTTCAGTCACAGTCACACTCGCACGCACTGCAGGCAGATACTGGCACGGGGGAGAGGGGAGGAGGGGGAAATACGGAGTGAATGGACGGATGTTGTAGTTGAGTCAAGCATCACTCTTGCACAATCACACTCGCATACAGTGGGAGGGAAGCTGGGGAGAAGTGGCAGAAGGAGCAGCGGGTGAGGCAAGATACCGGCCTGAATATCTGAAAGATCGTATTTCCAGCAGAAGCGAGCACAAAAGAGCGCGAGAGAGGAATTGTGGAAGGGAGGACGTAAGGGGAAAGAGGGGGTAGCAGCCAAGACAAAGGGAATTGAAAGAGGTAGCAGAGGGTGGAGCCACAGAGGCGATACACCACAAATTTGAGCGGCCTTTCAGAGCAGAACAACTCAACAAATCAGTCAAGAATGTTTAAGAATCTAAACAGCAGATGCAGTGCAGCAATTATACCGTTCAGGAACCCTTGAAAAAGAATACCTTAGGGAGGATAGAAAGTGCTTCTGACGTGGCGCTCTTCTCTCGGCCTGAACACACGCCCAGCACACGCCAGGCATGCACCAAATACACGCCCGCCGTACAACAGACAGACGTCAGGCATGCGACAGACACACGCCAGGCATGCATACATCAAGCCCATGAGCATGGACAGCAAGAGCATACTCCATACAAGAAACGCTGGATTCGCATCAGTGCCGTACACGCTTGAGATCGACGCAAGCATGCAATAAAGAAAGGCAGACGATATAGCTTGCGAGGATTCTTTGGATATGTCAAAAAATAACTTTTTAGGCGATCATGGCTTCTAAGGGATAGGGCGAGCACGTACGGAAGGCACACGTGATCAGAAACCCTTGAATTCCGCCGCCATTTCCGGATCGCAGCAGCTCCTCCCGCCGGTAATCAAATCGCGCCATCTTCAGCACTCCCGCGTGTCGATCCCATGGCGCCACCTCCCAATCGCTCTTGACCGTTGGATCCTGACAGACTTCCTCCGCCGCTTTCGACGCGGAATCCTCCGCGGCAGCTGGCGCAGCAGATGCCATGGAGTTCGCTTGCTGATTCCGAAAGGGCGCCGGCTTTGGAAACTCAAGGATGGCTGCGCGGTGCGAGAAATGAAGGACTAGTGGGAAGTGGAGGGAAGGCCCGGAAGGGTATGGAAGGGTATGTGGTGACGGCGGCAATCTCAAGGGAAAAAAAAGGCTCATTCGCGATTGTAGGTGTTCCTAAATATGCAACCCTGTATCTGAACCGATATAAGTATCCTTCACAAATATTTGACGAAACCAAACGCATTGTTCTCGATGATCGAAGAACAAAGTTTCAACTGAACGTGCAACAATAACACTCTACCAAATCAGATAGAAGTTTTGATGCTACGTTACTCCTTTTTCAACGAGATACAGCTAGGAGCTAGGTTGACGCAACCTACTACCGGTAACCTCCTATTCCCCGAAGTTAATACCATCAAGAACAGAGTTCGGACTACACCCCAAAACACCATCCTCCATAGCTTGATCCACTGACCCATCCTTGGTCAATAACGATAGGCGAGATGCACCACCAACACCACCCTCATTCTTCATGCAATGTGCCACATGAACCGGGGAAGACGGAGCAGAAAATATCATAAACCTGCCCCTGCGCTTTGACTGGCTGGCCTTCACCTCGGTCAACGAGCACTGACCTGGGAATGCACCAGGGGCTGAGAAGGAAACACCTGAAGGGTCTGAAAGGAAAGCTACAGGGTTTGATGGTGACTGTAAAGGTGTTGGTGACTGTAAAGGTGTTGACGAGGAAGGTGGTGCCATTCTTGTGCAATTGCTGCTACTACTGCTTCTGCTGCTGCTACTGCTGCTGCTGCCTTCCCTGCTGAAGCTGGTGGTTTCTCTAATTCCATTGCCTTCTCTGCTGCTGCCTCCTCTGCTGCTGCCTTCTCTGCTGCTTCCTTCTCTTCTATTGGCACCATCAAGGTTACTGACAGTGCTGCAGCTGGAGGTTGCTTGTGCAGCTGCCCCCTTGCTGTGTTGCTGCTGCTGCTGCTGCTGCTGCTGTTGCTGCTGCTGCTGGTTGTCGTGGTGGTGCGGCTGGTGGTGGCGGTGTTGCTGTTGCTCTTGATGCTGATGCTGGTGAGGGTGCTTCTCGTGCTGATGCTGCTGTTGTTGCTTGTCAGAATGCTGCTGCAGCTGGTGATGTTGCTGGTGCTGATGATGGAGATGGTGCAGGTGCTGATGGTGATGGCGACGGTGGTGATGCTGCTGATGCTCTTTCTGATTCGCCTGCCCCTGCTCCCGGTGCTGCCTCTGGTATAAAGGCTGCAGCATCTGTTGCTGCTGATGCTGATGCTGATGCTGCTTATTCAGGCATTCCCCGTCCACCTGTTTAAACCATGGATGATGCACGATACGGCTCGATCCAATCCGTCGGTTGGGATCCACATCCAGCATCCGACGGATGAGATCCTTCGCCTCGAGCGAGATCAACGGCCAGTGACTGCCCGTCTCCAAATCCACCTCTCCCCTGCAAACCGCAGCAAACACCGCATTCTGGTTTTTACCGAAAAACGGTAGTGTACCAGAAAGGCAAGTGTACATTATCACACCTAAACTCCACACGTCCACCTCAGGTCCATACTCCCTCCCTCTGACAGTCTCAGGGGCCATGTAGAATGGGCTCCCCACCAACCCATGCAGCCTGCATCCTCGTTTTAAGACTCTCGCCAACCCGAAATCAGCGATTTTGACTGTAAGACAACTTGCTGATAATGAGGCTGCTGATAACGGGGATGGGGACAGGTCTGCAGGTGAAGTTCTTTCAGAGTTTACGCTGGAGCAGTGCATAGTGGAGAGGTTGCTGTCGGGGTAACGGGATGTGCTTGTAAGGAGGATGTTCTCGGGCTTCAAATCGCGGTGCACCACTCCCATCTCGTGCATTGTTGCGACAGCTGTTGCGAGTTGCCTGCAAGAATGGGCATGGGGGGATGCAGGAGAAGGGAAGGGATGCCAGGGAGGGGGGCAGAGGGAGAGGAAGGGGGGAAGAAAAACAAGGGGAAGGAGAGGGAAGTAGGAGCAAGGGACCAAAGCCCATGACTTGGGGGTTTTGAGGAGGAGGAGGGGGGGGAGAGGGGAAGGAGGAAAAGGGAAAGGAGGAGAGAGGGAATTTGGGAAGCGCTGTGGAGGAAAAAGATACACTGAACTGATAGTAGGAAACTTATCTTTAAAGGTTACCGACACACCTCATTATGGCAGCAGTTTGTCGTTCGTCGAGCCTCTCATGTCGCGCCACGTGTTCAAACAAATCTCCCCCCTCACAGTGCTCCAACACCATGTGCACCGCAGATTCGTCCTCGAAAACATCCACCAATCGCACAAACCCATTTTCATGCCCATTTCTGCATGGATCATTTTTGTCTACTTTGTTATATATGTTTTTCACATTTGTACACCCAGCCTCGCAATCATCCGGGTCGTGATTGTCGTGATGGGTGGTCCTCGAATCCGTTTCAGTCACGTCCGTTATCCGCACAAACTTCAAACACCGAGCTGCTGACACACCCCGTCCATAAACCCCCCCTTGCTGCTCCCCATGCCCCGCCAAACCATTCCGCCGCTCCCCCCTTCCCTCGCGCGTTGCTTCCCCCGCTCCTTCCCCGCGCGCAGTAACGTCCCAGACTTCGCTGCGCGCTGTTTCCGCCTCCTTTTTCCCCGCATGTTTTGCTTCATCTCCTTCCCCGCGTACTGCTTGCGCCTGCTTTTTCCTCTGCGCTGCTTGCAACAGCAGCGGAATCAGCACCTCCGCGCGTAACTCGCGCATGGCCTCGGGAGTCTGTTGAGCGGGACGTACGGAGCGGAAAACAGCGGAGCGGAGGGGTAGAAGGTAATAGAACGAAATGGAGGAAGTAAAGAAAATTAGGAAAGATAATCAAAGTTAAAAAAGGCCCGCAAGCGCGAGATTGGCTGTCTGCACCAATCATCTCGTACACCAAATGAAACGAGAAGGTAATATGGACCGAAACGCACAGCTACTTGCGACTTGAGAACCGTCTTGCATGCGAACTGCTCCCCTGTTCGCCTGTCTTCGCAGAGCCGCACCACTCCGAAATGGCCTCGCCCCAGCTCCTTTCCGAGCCTAAACCGAGCCTCCAGGCTCGGCTGTCCCTGTTCCCGATCCCGCCAGTCATCCCGCCCGCAGACTCCACTTCCGCAACCTCCGCCACCCTTTCCGACGCATACGGTGAGGGAGCCGACACCGCCATCCACGCAGTCAATGTCGCTGCATTCGACTCCGCCAGCCCGACATTGGCGGCGTGCTTCCCGGAGTAGATCGTACACGTGGCAGCGTATGGCGGTTCCATCATCCCCGGCTGGCTCCACGGGCAGGGAGCGAGCGGCTTGAGCGCTGACGTGGATGATGTCCTCGAGCACGTGGAATGATGTATCCTGCTGACCTGGCTGTACGGTTTTCCTGAGCTCGCTTTTGTCACAGTCGTTTTGATCACTCGAAGGTACCTCGCCCACGGCCTGACAGTCTCCCCGGCGGCTGCTCCCTCGACTGGGTTGACCAGGTTGACCGCATTGACCGGTTCCAGCGGGTTGACCAGATTGATCGCATTGGCTGGTTCCAGTGGGTTGACTTGGTTGACTGGTCGAGCCGGCTCGCCGCCTGTCTGCCGTGGTGTCAGGCGCAGCCATTTCATATCGCGGCGGCGCAAAGAGACATCAACGAAGGATCGGCATCACACATGCCGCATTCACTGAAATTGCGGCGCGAGATGTCACTTCGGTTGAATCCAGAAAAGATAACTAGTCCGGAGATTTGCGCGAGTGATGCGACGCAGCAGTCGCGCGAGTGGATGTCTACGATGCTGAGAGATGCGACTTCTGAGAATTCTCAAGAGAGATGCGCTGCGAGGAAAGCCATGGATGGAAAGGCCTCTCTGCCAGCGAGAAGCATAGGAAAAACATGGCTGACAAGGGGACTGCTTTTTTCACGGGAAGGTAATGCGTAATCCGGGCCTAGTCTGGTTCTTATGGTGAAACCGTCTCCTGCGAATCGAGCTTCGCCCCGAAATCCTATCAGTTGGAGTGGTGCAGTGCGGACTTAGACTACCCCGCTTAAACTAACAGATATCATGTACAGGTCTAAGTGGACCCGCCAGGCTGTAAAAAAATGGCCCGTCTTCTGTCAATGTGACGGAGACTGTAATTACTAGTGTAAGGCTGCTGACTTGCTCCTGGCGAAGTCCGAGGCTATTAAAACAGCCGACTGACCCTGCGAGTGGGGTTATTGTGTTGTGGCGTCAGTACTGCGTGCTATTGCGCTTGCAGATGGGCGGTGGTAGTAAGGTTGAGGGAAAAATGGCTGGACATCGCACTCTAGAGGAAGAAAGGCGGCCGTCTTTTCCAGGCCGTCGATGTTGAGTCGGAGACGTCCAGTTCGTGCGATGTGTGTGTCTAATACTTCTACGAGTCGCACGACGGCGTAATACGACACTGTTCGCGTGTCGGCCGGAAGTCAGTGGACCGTC